CGCCGCCGCGGGCGTGGGGGAGGGGACAGGCGGGCGGGGGTGGCTGCATCCTGAACAGCGCCTCCCGGAACCTGGCCGGTTAGTGGCGGCTTCGAGACTACAGTGAGGCATGAGCCGGAGGAGCCATACTAGGTGAGGGCAGCCTGGCAGCAACATTAAGTGGAGAGTTGATAGCTTCACTTTGGGAGGAGAGAATAGAGATTGGCAGCCATCTTTCTTTGGGGCAAGCTGGCAACGCAATATTTTCTTGACGGCGGCTTCCGGGCGGTAGTAAGGGATGGGAAAGGGTAGTGTTTTTGAATGTAGAAACATTGGTGGCCCCAGAGCTGACTGATGTTGACTTCAATACCATTGAAAAACTAGGACTGGCAGCCATGACGCATAAGGGCGGAATAGCACGGGGTCGGATTGCATCGCGAACCCGGGTGAAGGTTCAGGATCCGGATTTGAGCTTTACTCTGACATTCCTGGCAACCCGGACGTTCCGTAAACCTGGATCAGGAGCAGAAAGCGCCGCTCAGATCCCCATTCGTAATTCATTCTTTCAGCCTTTGCCTTTTGAGAGCTTGCTTCCTGTAGGAAGCATCGCCTGAGCTGAATCGTAGACTGTTGGGAACTGGGGGGGTGGGGGGGGCGGTATGCAGGTGTGTTCTGGAGCTACCAGCAGCCTGGTATGGCTTTTTAAAAAAGGTAATGGATGAGGCCGGTGAGATGGGGAGGGACGAGATAACGCAAAGCCTTGTGAATTAATTGATTTTATCCTGAGGGCAGTGAAGAGGCTTTGAAAGGTCTTAGCAGAGGTATGAACAATTATATTTGCATTTTAGAAATATCCCTGTTTGCAGTGTGAAAGGTGGATTGGAGGGGACAAGGTTAGACGCGAGGAGAACAATTGAAAAGCTCTTATCCAGGCAAGAGATAATGATGGTCTGTCCTTTAGAAGGGTGAGTGCAGATGGGGAGAAATACATTGGATTAGGGGGTATGAATGTTCTGACTTGGACAACTGGGGAATACTGATGACATTTCCTTTTTTGTTTTGGGGAAGAGAATGAGTTTTAGGTACCGGTGGGATATCCATTAGACAATCGAATATTAAATAGTGTGGGTTGGGAACCCAAAAGAAAAGTTTGAAGAGTGTGTGTGCTCATATAGATAGCTGTTGAAGCCATGGAAGTGGATAAGATGGCCTAGAAATAAAGATACCTGCATGTGAGGGATGGGGTGAGGGAAGGAAATGGGAAAGAAGACACTGAGAAGGGTCAAACAGAAAGGAAAAGAAAACCAGGAGAGAAGTATTAAGGAAACTGGTCAAAGTGTTAACAGGTCAGGTAAGATGTGGACTAAAATGTGTCCATTGGGTTTTGCAACAAAGTCACTTAGTAAATTTGGAGAAGGCTGCTTCATAGTTGTGGTGAATTAGAAACCAGACTGAACTGGAAAGGCACAATGTATAAAGACGATTTTTTCATGGTGTTGACTGTAAAAAGGACACTAGCAGTAAGATATTGCATGAGAAAGAATTCCCAAGAAAGAGAAGGAGTTTTAGGTACCTGTGGATCAGCTAGATGGAGATGTCCTGATGGCAGTTGAATATACAGATCTAAAATTTAGGAGAATAATATATGTGCAGAAGAATAAATATGGCACATTTTCACAAACATTAAAAAGTTAGCTATATGGGCCGGCCTGTGGCTCACTCAGTAGAGTGCGGTGCTGATAATACAAAGGCCACGGGTTCGGATCCTATATAGGGATGGCCGGTTTGCTCACTGGCTGAGCGTGGTGCTGACAACACCAAGCCAAGGGTTGAGATCCCCTTACCAGTCATCTTTAAAAAAAAAAAAAAAAGTTAGCTATGACGTGTGGGCCTGGGAGGGTGAGTCTTATACTTTTTTTTTTTTTAAAGATGACCAGTAAGGGGATCATAACCCTCGACTTGGTGTTGTCAGCACCACACTCTCCCAAGTGAGCAAACCGGCCATCCCTATATAGGGATCCAAACCCTCCGCTTTGGTGTTATCAGCACCACACTCTCCCAAGTGAACCATGGGCCAGCCCCTTATACTTTTCATTTTAGATCCATCATTACTGTTTGAATTTGTTTTACTATGTACATTTATTACTTTTATAAAAAACTACTTTTTAAAAACTCCAGTGATGTATTGGCCAGAAATTCTGAAAAATCAACATTTCAGTGGGTATTGGCCAGTTAGCACAGTTGGTTAGAGCACAGTGTTGATAACACCAGTGTCAAGGGTTCAGATCCCTTACCAGCCAGCCACCAAAACCAAAAATATTTCAGTGGTAGTTGAAGCCATGGATTTGGATAAGCTTCCCAGAGAAGAGCAGAGGGCTAAGAAGAGTGCTCTGGGGCATTCCAGCATTAAAGGTACAAGTAGAAGAGCCTTTGAAAAATCTTTGAAAAGAAACAGGGCTGGCTGCGCACTTGTTATGAGGGTTAGTTCACTTATGAGCGTGGTGCTAACAGTACCAGAGTCAAGGGTTGGATCCCCATACCAGCCAGCACTCCACCCTGCTTCCAGAAAAAAAAAGAAAAAGAAAAAAAATATATATATATATATGTATATATATATCAAAACAGCCAGTGAAGGCCGGCCCAGTGGCGCACTGCTACAGTGCGCCGCTTGGGAAGCGCGTCAGCGCTCCCGCCGAGGGTTCGGATCCCACATACAGACCGGCCGCTCACTGGCTGAGCGAGGTGCAGGAGCAACACCGAGGGTTGCGATCCCGTTGCCGGTCCTGGTCCGGTACGGGCGCGACACTGAGGGTTGCAATCCGTTGCCGGTCACGAAAAAAGAAAAAAAAAAAAAAAAAAAAAA